GAGACAAATAAAACCTTCACATGCAGCCTCAGGTTTGTTGCCTTTCACGTTTCAAAGTGGTTTTAACAGGAGATTCGTTCAAAAAAAGTTCGGTATTATTTTACATGCACTGATGGTTACAGGAGGAAAGTTCAGGACTTGTGCTGAGCCTCAAGAAACATTATATTGCAGACATTGTATCTGGCAGGTAATCTTATACAGAAACACAGACCAGGTCAAACTGAAGGCTACAGTTAATGCTCCAACCGTTTACATGTTGATTCAGCACGAGTTACAAAGAGGATTCTTAAGGAGCTTGAGAGAGTAAATGTTGAGAGCTTGTTTCCCTCATGGGAGAGTCTAGGACCTAAGAACATAGTCTCAAGAATAAAAGGGGTACCAATTTAAGACTGAGATGAGAAGGAATTTGAGGTTGAGCATCTTTGGAACTCCTTGCAACAGAGAGCTGTGGGGGCAGAATCCCTGGGTATATTTAAGGCCGAGACAGATAGGGAAAGGGCAGGAAAGTGGACGTGAGGAATGCTGGATCAGCCATGATCCTATTGAATGGTACAGTAGGCTCAAGGGGCCGAGTGGCCTACTTCTCATGCTATTCCTTATTGTTTTAGTTTCAGGAGCATAAATAAAACCTTGTTTTAAAATACATTTACATGCCAATGGATAGCACGACGTGCCAACAATCTGCACGATGGCTTGCTGAAAGGGTCTTTAGATGGCAGCTTGCGAGGGTTATACATGGATTCAATATTATTTCCAGCAGCCAATTCCCCAAGTGAAACCCGTTTATAAGGGAACACTTATATTCCCATTTCTGTTCCTACTCCCACCCCGATCCACTTCCTTAAAAAAAACTCAAAACATCAAGCAAAAAAGTTCTTTTTTAAAAAAACTGTCCCACTTATTTATATTTGCACAATGCTTGAGTGTACTCTTCTTTTAACAGCCCAAGCTCTCACATGGTAGCACCCACGAATACTCACCTAAGATGTTTGCAGAAGTTATACCGATGCCTGTGTTAAGCTTGGAAAGGGTGATAGGCAGTCTACTGCTGAGTTCTGGAGACCACGGTCAGGTTGCTTCTTCACTTCTAATGATGAAGAATGTCTGAAACTGCCTGACTGATGCTAAAATAGTCTTTGAAGGTACTTCAGTTTTAATTTTAGTCTAAAAGTTGATATGGGACAATCAGCATGGTTCTGTTCAAACTCCTGCCTGTGACTTAACAGGTTAAAAAAAATTGAAGTGTACTGGAGGACTGCATCAAATAAGCTAGACCAGAGTCAGTGCATTTCCAAGAGAACATTGCTTGAGTAAAGGTTGCTATGCTGCAGATGTCAACAGGCAGTAGTTCTGATAAGTTTAGTGCAGGCTAATGATACCAAGCCACAAATCAAAGTGCATCAAGCTCTCTCAGCTTAACATCATTATCGTTTTCTTATTTGCATCAAGATACCACAAAGTCCACCCCCACACACTTAGCTAAATGAGTGCCAGTCTTAAAGCAAAGACTTCCATTGACATAGCACCTTTCACAACCACAGCAAGCTCCCACACACAAACATGAGACAACGGTCAGATCATCTGATTTTTCAGATGTCGGTCGAGCAATTAAATACTGACCAGGGTTAACTCCTGGCTTGCCTTTGCCACAGAATCTTTTAGATTCATCCAAGATGCAACAGGGACTCAGTTTAGCACATCACCTGAAAGCTGGAGAGTGCTGCATTCTGTCAGTGTAGCACACTGAATGTCTGCTTTGATTTTTGCTCAACTTCTGAAGTGCAGCATACTTCAGCCTCTGGAGACAAAA